ACGTAAGGTCTACTCAAATCATTGTGGGAATAATCTATTACCAATCCTCTTATAACCATTAACGAAATATGCAGAATACATTTCATTACACAATTTGCAAATTAATGCTTTATTTTCAGAACTTTATGGGTGTTTATCTTAATCAGTAGTATATGAACAACATGAATTAAGTCCTTTATAAATGTTTAGTCACTTTCTCTTTGCCTATTTACTAATGAGTTCGTTTGACAGTCAAACTTACGTTGCTATTTTCTTCTGCCTTGTTGACTCTTTTAGAAGGGAGCTTGCTTCACAACTTGTCTTTAGATAGAGGTATACTTACGATAAGACACTGGGTCATGTTACTCAGTTTGAAGATGATTAAGTTGGGCAAATATTTTTATAATGAAGTACCAAAATTAGTTTGGCCAAAATTTAAGTAATTACAAATTATTGCAGAGATCTACTACATTAGATAATGCTTATGGGCCTTTAAGTTTAGCTAAAAATTGAGTATTAAAATGATGGCTAAATCAAGCTGACTAATTTTTTGTGAACTTTTAGGACTTGCAATCTAAAAGTAGCGGTATCTATTTCTTTGCCTTGTCATTTCCACTGAATCCGATGCGCCACATAGTCTTAGCTTCAAAAAGAATTTCCTCATATTCAGTCACTTCATCAATTATAATAACAAGCATTTTCACAATCTAATAATGTATCCTTAGTTAGAGCTTACGCTTTAAGGAGGTTACTTCCTTCTGATTTAATAGGTTCTAGTATGCTTATGATGCACAGAATGTGTTGGAGATCCAATAAAAGTATGGGCGTCGACTGGAAGCGAATGTATTGCTGTCCGCTCTTGGAAGGAAAACACTTTGCAGATACGGTTGTCAAGGTTGCTCCTTGGCAAAACTAGCCATAACTAGACCTTTAAAAAATAAAAGTTCTACGAGTTGCCTTCTTTATGTAGATGTTTTCACTGTTATAATCTGATTATTAAACTTCAAATATCAAATAGTTTCAGGAATTTGCTGTAATTTAAGGAGTAAAGGATCTACTTGTTCATCGTCGTTTTATGTGCTAATAAACAAGTCGAAGAGAATTATTGTTTTCTTGTTTACCAGTCAAGCGATAGCATATTGCAATGTGTTAAGAGCCAGATGATACAGAAGACTTCCTAACTATTCACCTTGCATTCTCTAACATTGTTCATCTTGTGCTTGGTTAGGCCGGCTACATAAACGCCAAACTCAGGATGTTCTTTCAGCTCCAGCTTTGCTTTAGTATCCTTGGCCAAGAGGTCGCGTATCTCCTCGTTATAGATCTCAAGATAAGAGGCTTGCACCAGGTATTTTGTACGATCACTGACAGCAATGGTCTCGAAGATATGATCAAAGGCGCTGTTGGTCAAGAAAGTAAAATTGAACACAAGAAACAAAACAATGCTGATGACCATATTAACGAGGGTATAATTTAAGCTTAGAAAGTAGATGAATTTATTGCGAAGGAAAGTTGGGTTTCGAGGAATTGTTGATTGAGCTTACTTCCATTTAGAAGGAAAGCCTCTGTTAAAGAGATTTGAAAGTCGATCCCGACCTACGGCAGAGAATATATGCGAAGAAAAGTTGGGTTTCTAAGAGTCTCTTGTTTCATAATTGCAGAGCTTACTTTCATTTCGAGTGAAACTGTGCGGTGAAGAGATTCTGAGGTCGGTTCGACGAGAAGACGATGGCGGATTCCTCTTGACCTTCTTTACTGAAACATTCATGATGATGTTGTTTCCGAAGTAATCTCCTGCGATTCCGGAGAAAAGGTGCTAACATTTCATAGGACATCATCAGAGCAAGGTATCATCGTCACAATATTCAATCTAACGAGTCAAGAAACCAACCTTCGAATCTTCATACCCAACAGTTTCACTCGAAATGAAGTGAGCTCAACAATTATGAAACAAGAGATCCCTTGAAACCCAAATTTTCTTCGCATGTATTAAGGTCGGTCATCGTTTTGCGATGAGATCAATCAATGAATTTATTCATCATGCACGTTCACGCGAAATGTAAATCCCCCCAACAACATTGCTATTACTTTATTATTTTGAGCAATCCGGCATCTTGTATGCGCCATATTGTTTTAGGCCATATCATTCTGTTAATTAAGACTTTATCAGAACCATGCATGTTCAATTAGTCAGTACCGGGAGGAGCATTTCAATGTCAAATATAGTCTACTCACGTTTTTTATTGTTTTTGATAACGAAAAATATAATTACACTTTCTCGATCTATACAAGCTACAAGAGAGAGTTTCATAGAGCCCACTTAGCATTGACTGACTCATTTTGGTTTGGGCAATTTTGTCGGGTGTAAACGTGTCACTATCCAAACCAACTTTTTAGCTTCATTTATAATAAGGCCAAAGAGCCTTCTTAGCAATCATAACTGCAATCCAATCTAGTAGGTAAAGGTTTCTGAGAAATACAACCAAATGAAATCATTTCACTGTCTCTTAAAGGTCTAAGCTTAACCAGCTATGACAGCACATGCTTTAAGTAAATTCTTTTTCACGTACATTAATTGGCTTAGCAAAGACTTAATTAAATTAGATTAATATTAATAGTCTGATAAACTGAGAAAAGAGGGCGTAATTATCGACAAAAATGGATCCAACTATATCATATTCTAAAAGTCAAAGTAAGTCTATCAATGCAAATGAAGGCCCGATGGTTAAGTTTTTTACAATGACTCTCGTGGTTTCATCTAATTACACTTAACCTTGTCGCATAAGATGTAATAAAAATGTATTATTAATGTATACTCATGCAGCTGAGGGGAATTGCATTCCAGGGAATATTGTTGAGAAGTAAGGCTATATGAAACGTAATGGAACCGTGAAGTCTACTCTAATCTTTGTGGACAAAAGCCATTCTCATTACTTCATCACCTTCAACGAAATAGGGTGGACACAGCCCTATTTAAGTTGGAATGGCACTTTTAAAACTTATTCAACACTAATATATGTACTAGCCTAGGCCAATAGTGCCTACTTTTGATAGTGTCTACTTATTTAGAGGCCACTTTTTTTCTAGCTAATTAACATTCCTATTACAATGAGTAAAGGAAAAGAGTGCTCTTTTCTACAGTTGTATTGGCGATAGTATTCATTCATCAGCACCAGGATAAGACACTCTGAGCATTAACTCAATCTAATTAAAAGAATAAGGTGAAAATTATTTTGAAATTTTTTCAAATATGCGACAACAAGAACAAACACAGAAGCGAATAATCACCAAGATCATGGAAAGAAAGAAAGAGGAAGTGGAGTCAAAAGTAAGTAATATAGTATAATTTACAACATATAATAAAGTACAGAATGTGTATTCAAAGCTTAAACTATACTATTATGCATTTAAGTAGGAAGCCTTATTTCGCTGTATCAATTTGTCTGAGTTCGTCGTCACAAAATGGTGCTAATGACGGCATAACCGGGCAGAGCTTAACTTGTTTACCGACTTCTGCTGGAGTTGTCATTATAATTTCTAACACCGGACCTTAGATTTGACACACTTCTAAACGTTCGACAAGCCTCAAAGTCGGCATCACCAATAAGCAATGCCATTCTTAGCAGCAAGATAAAAATGACAGATAAAATTGAACCTTTAATCAAATTACTGATTCATTTATTCCCATCGAAACGTCTAGTTTGTTCATTTTAAATTACTCGAAAGATGCACCGATATAAGGCTTCATCGCAACTACACACTGTGCATCAAAAGAGAAGAAGCACCATCATCATCATTAGCCAAATAACAGAAGTGTCATTTTGGAAATACTATGCGGAGAGATGTTGGAGTTCGAGAAATTTCATGGCTTATAATTGTTGAGCTCACTTTCATTTCGAGTGAAAGTGTGCGGTGAAGAGACCCAAACTTCGATCCCACCAGAAGACAATAAGGGATTCATATTTACCAGCTGTCGATTGACTTTACGGGAGCATCTTTTTGACATTGTTGCCAAGACAAACGCCTTAAATTCCGACGAAAACGCACTAGGCTTTCATCCGTCCGTTGATATATTTCATCAGAGCAAATGGTATCATTCTTACAACCATGTTAATGCTGACAAGCCAAGACAACTCATTAGTTTAAACAAGGTTGCAAGGACGGTAGTCTGCTCCTATGCTTTCCTTTTACTGACGGACGAAAGCTCAGCACGTTTTCAACGGAATCGTTGCCTTGGCAACAGCGCCGACAAGAGCATTTCAATAGATATGAAGAGAAATAGGGGGTTCGATGAATTCTTGAAATAATATTGTTAGGGGGATTATCAGTTCGTATAAAAGTGCATGAAGAAGAGATTCGTTGGTTAATCTTATACTCAATTGAGCCAAAAGAAAATTAAAAACCTAGATAGACCGATATAGATTATTTTTTCGCATTTAATATTGTTTCGTGACTACCAGTAAATCAGTAGTATGAGATGTATTCATCCAATTTCGTTTAAGGTGATGAATGACTAGTAGAAGACGAATTTTCCCGCAATGATATGAGTTGAGCTAACGGTTCCATTCAATTTCACATATCTTTGCTTTCTCAAAAGTTGTTCTCATCACAATGTATATTTGCTATAACAATCGACTACGTTATTTTATTTTTCGCATTTAATTATTGTCTCGATACTACCAGTGAATCAGTAGTATGAGATGTATTCCCCCAATTTCGTGTAAGGTAATGAAAGACTGGTAGAAAAAGAATTTTCCCACAATCAATTTTACATTTCTTTGCTTTCCCAAAAGTTGTTTTTCATCCCACAATGTTTATTTGCTATAACACTTGACTACGTTATTTTAGTTTTCGCATTTAAGTATTGTCTCGAGACTACCAGTAAATCAGTAGTATGAGATGTATTCACCTAATTTCG